ATAACACCGAGCACATTCCTACTCATGATTCGACCGGCGCACGTTGTGTTATAGTACCTACCCGCACACGCGGTTTATGTATGTATATTACGATAAACATTACACGGTTCATAGACTGCGGTCGCCGTCCTGTGGGCAAACACGGCCGTTGCTGCATATAGATCATCGGATCGATTTATCGCAATGATTTACGATCAGATCCGAACGATGGGCGTCGCTAGGTATATTAATACTGTGTAATGCAACGATAATAATAATATTTTAACGGCATATGCGCGCATAAATAATTAATAGCAAAATATGTAACAATATCATGCCTTACCCATATACGATGATAATAATGATAAAAAAAAAAATGAATAAATTATTGCTGCAGCGGCGAGCTGCATTTAGCATTGTTAACGACAGCGAACGCGTTTTTTTCACAGGGAGCAGCACACGTCCTATACACAATATGCAGTTTTTATTGTGTTGCGGTGAACGGACGAAAGTGAACTGTGAACGGGGCCTGGCCCATCTACGCGAGTTATTAAAGTATAATATCATCTATTACTCAACAGTCACGAATTAATATGTTTTTAATTACGCAGTGCTCGAATTTCATTTGCGTTTTGTCTAACAACGACGAATGTTGTCACTGCAGTGACGGTGAAGTGCATACTCACCTAACGTTTTCAGAAATCTGTAACAATACACGACGCATGCGTACAGATGAATGCAAGATCTTATATGGACAAAAAATCACGCTTTAGATTCAGAGTGGCGAGAGTAATGTATACCTATCAATCGGGCCGTTTAAATTTCGTAATGGTCGTCGACGGCAGCGCGTTGTACTTGAAGTGACTATACGGTTTCAAGTAATATAATATGATTCTAAGGAACGTCGGTTTTTTCAGTTTAAAATATTTATATACATATATCAAATAATTCTGACTCGTCTTAAATACTTCAGACAGTAGAGACAAATTACGAGTTACCTCTGAGATAAATGACGCCTATTTGTGAGCCCATCATCAGCTGTATGAAAAAACCGTATAAAAAAATACTAAGTAGATTTTGATATCACCACATACTATTTATGGTGCTCAATTTAGTACAGATTGCGTATATCTTATGAAAAAAAGAGATTTTTATCTATCTCAGGGATAAAGATAGGAACCAAAAAAAAAAATATACACCTATATCATGTTTAAAAAAGTGAAAAAGTGGATTAACAATCAACTACATTTGGCGATAAAATAGAGTAGTTTACTTCGATTCAAATTAATGTGTTGAATTATTGTTTCGTTAGTTTTACAACAACGTGCAAATATCACTGAATCACATTAAACTTTACTTGGTTTGTGTGACTTCGAAAAAAGCAGTTAAATATGTATATTACGCTTTAGTGTAGATTATTATGTGCATATATAAACATTATGTGATACGAGTGTATGATTAATTCCAGTTTTGTATCAGAATCAAGTATAATATTATTGATGATCGTCGTTTTGTTTTTATTTCGTATAGACTATATAGAATAAATCGAAAATAAGCCCAAACTATCTAGAAAATCCGTATGGTTGGTGGAATCCATATACAATTGATTATATTATATTAAAAAATTTTATATCATTATACTATGAGGGCTGTGAATGAAACGGATTTGTACGTACTGTATACTTACTTAACAGCAGTAGTTGCAGTAGTATACTTATAAAAGTGTTTAGGTGTCAACATTTATTACAATCAGAGAGCTGAATTTTTGCATACTTTATTTTCTCTATGTTTATATTTTTCATATTYAATTGTAATCTCAATCCATTACCTGTTGATGTTGAGTCAATTAGACGATAAGACGATATAAAATGTTATCAAGACAAACCACACGGCTATTGCCTATGATTATATTTATAATATTACAATAATGTTGTTCACGTATTATACTAAAACATAAGTAGGCACTACGAGTGATAAGGATCGACCTATAATAATCATATATTAAGCTGATACGTCATAACTACGCCGGTATCGTGTGAGGGCGTGGTATAACTTTGTCATAACTGGTAACCATATCGGTTAAAAATATGAGATTTAGTAAATTCTTGGTATACTCGGTCGTAACTTGGCCATTATACGTTATACCGAAAAAGTAACTCCATCGAATCGCTGTGAATCCAACAAAACACGCGTAAGATCCACACGCCAAGACGAACTACGAAAAATAAGAGTCTCGATAAAGAGGCGTTATAGAGATTGTGTGCAACCGTTGAGTACAGTCAGTACGCTAAATACATATTATCATCGCTCGATGTCTTGTATTATTGTTATAATATGTTATTGTAATCGACAATATTGTATAACTGTATCATTATAGCAAGGACGGTGTATACCAGGTATATACCAGATGAGAGGTATGCTTAAAATAAAAACAAGTCACGGTTATCATGTATAGTATTACGGTGGTCAATATGATAATATTATATTATATCGTGTAATAAATTATTTACAAAAAAAGATATATATATAATATAATATGTTTATACGCGAGTGGTACGCAGACGATATATATATTATTATGTGACTCGCGGTACACGGCGTGTAGGTATAACGGCGGTCACATCGCGTTGGTTTCACGGGCAGCGAAGAGATCGCCTGGAAGTGTTGACGAGGAATCGGTCACTAGTACGCCTTGTACGGGGCTGGCTTGTATGCGGGTGCTGGCTTGTATGCGGGCGCTGGGTAGGCGGGCTTGTAGGCCGGTGCGCTGTACGGGGCCTTGTATCCTCCTTCGATTTTCTTGACCTCGGCGTTGAAACCGTTGTAGTCGTCGGCGGTGTACTCGACGACGCGGGTGGAACCGTCGGCTTCGACCAGGCTGTACGATCCCTTGACGTTGCCTTGGCCGTCGCTGTATTCGGACTGGCTCTTCACGTCGTATGTCGATGGGTCGTTGACGCTGTACTCGAAGTTGTACGGGGCGGGGGCATAGGCGGGCTGGGGGGCGTAGGCCTTTGGTGCCGGGTAAGCTGGTGCCGGGTAAGCGGGCTTGTAGGCCGGTGCTGGGTATTGGGCGATGGCGGAAACCACGCATGCCGCGAAGATGATCAACTGCGAAAATCGTTTGTAAATTCGAAATTGTAATACAATAATAGTAATAATACCAATGCCACAAAATAAAAGGACAAAAATATTGTCTCTCCGGGCGATCGTAGCACGATAATATTTATATGTTAGTTGTATATTATTATGACGATGAGTAGTACAACGTAGTCAGCTGCGATGGCCGCGAGCGAAAAACCGAACGGAAAATCATTAAGCAAGTGAGGTGAATCATAATATTATACTATCGCCACCACACCGAACAATGTGTGCTGTTATTGGCGGATTTTCTAGATTGGCCGAAACGACCGTTTTCGTTTACCTTAGGTGCCATTTCGGTTTGTGTTTGAGCGTTTCGTTTCTTCCTGATATAGAACTCTTGACGACGAGATGGTTGACTGGTGAAGCTGTACGTAGCGATCGTCGTATTTATATGCCGCGGGTTATCGTCCGCACAATCCCTTCCCTGTATATTATACTKCACTCACGAGTATTACCCCGACGAGTCCGCGGACCTAAGTACTTTCGATATGGTCATAGGTTATAATAAGTACGGTATAGCACGGCTGCGGTATATCTATTTCRCTATTATTACCGCATATACCTACGAACCGGTTGCGATATAATGTACGATTACCGTTCCAGCGCATACCGGGTTATCGGTATAGATTATTATATTATATCTGTACACGTTTTTTGTATTGTTTAATAGCCCGTGCAACGATTGCAGGTGTCCGTACGCGGCGGCGGCCGCGGCGTAAAGGGAACWATATCGTCAAGGACACGTCTCGTCGTCGTCATCATCGAAGTCTATTCGGGTTAATTTGGTACCTATCGAGGAGGAAAAAAAAGGTTTGCGTTCGCTGTGCCGCCGAATCGCAGGRCCCGTGCAACATATTTTGTTTCCAAATTATTTAAATTATACGTTGTCTGCAGGTGATTATGATAGTGGCGATAGTGCCCGTAATAACTGCAACTGCTGCTGTTTGTGGTATATTTTCTATTGTACCATAATGCGTACCAATTGCCAACATGTAAGTTTCGTATGTGCAGCAATAGAATATTTCGAGAAATAATCGAATTTGTGCGTAAAGTTTTTCTTGTCACGAATCATGATTTTTAATAAAAATAATTCGTCGAATGTCATTATGGTCTTTTATTTTGTGAGTAAGCAATATATTATAATACCATATTACTACAGTATAAGTATAAAACGAGATAATGTCAGCAATTTATGCTTTACAGTATCTATCGGAATTTTGACTTTTTTTTTTTTTATCTATTTTAAATGTACCTATAGCTTTAGGTGTTTTCATTTTACTAATTTATTATTTTCTTATTTTTTTATTAAACCTTAATTGTAGCTATATAATCTAGGTACTGAAATCACTTTTGCAGTTGAATTTGTTTTATTAAATATTTTAGTTGAACGTTAAATTATAACAAATAAGTAGGTAAAAAAAACATCCTTCATTCATAGTTAATTTATAATAATTTTATCAATAGGCATAGTTTTAGTAATGTTGAATATTTTAACGACAATTTGATATTTTTGATTTTTTATTCAACTATTCTAATCAATATTATCCTATGGTTATCACTTTAGTAATACGTCGTATGAAAAGTGAGTAATTTAATAAATAAAATATATGTTGAATTAATAACATAATTTAACTGGTATAGTCAGTAGTATCGTGCCGGTGAACACTTGAACACATATSAGTTATTAATATTAATGCATACTAATTTCGATAATGAATTGATTACATTATTTATTTTATTTTTTTATTGGTTGTCCGGTATCATATTACATTGGGTAACCATCTAAACCACGGAATATCAATTTCATTTTCAATATTTTTGCGGTGTACGTCATATTGATGTATAATATGCAATGAATGTAATAAACGAGATGAATAAATTAATTTTGTCAATAATGCCCATTAATTTTTTTTTTCATTTAGTTTAGAACTTTTTTTGTATCGGACTTCTCATATACGATTTCAATAAAAGGTATGTAAAATGTGTGGCCGTGTTTCAATTTTAAATTGATCAAGTGGTGACTAAAATGGTAACAAAACCACCGCCACGGTCATCATGGTATAATAACGTTGCTAATATAGAAATACCACTGACGGGTTACAATATAATATTTCAGCTGGTTCAGAATAGTCTGATAAATAATTAAAGAAATAAAATAAATGACTAGCTTCATTCCACTATGCTCAAACCAAAATTGTATTCATTTAAAAATTTTAATTTTTCATTTAGTTCAAGAAATGATTTTGAATTGCAGAATAGTATACAACTACTATTATAATATTATTAGATTCTAATTAAATACAATGCCTTTAGTAGAAGCCCTTTACTATCAATTATATTTTAGTAAGTTATTCATAAAATTGTATTGTTAATATAGTTAGATTTATTTTAATGTGTCCGTTAATAATTAATATCTAGCCTATAATATGTACCTACTAACTAACTATAATTTCTGTGTTAACATTTGTTCCAATATTCGTGAAATATTATTTATATTTTAGGAACATTTTCGAGACGAGTCAAGCTAACAGTATTTATTGGTCTTGGAAATATATATTTTTTTTAATAATGAACCATTTTCAATCATGTGAATTTCATTAATATGTAACATACTCGAATAAATCGAATATTTTACATTTCGAGGGTATAATAGGTACCTATACTAGGTAGGTAGGTGAGATTTATTTTACATATAAAATATAATTAAAATAGTTAAATAAAAGATCGATGTCGATATGGCCAGAAACTGTGTTGTTTATACATATACATACATWATTCTACTATTTTATTTAAGGCACAAGTGTTGTTAGCTGATCATTAATAGACCATTTTTGTTGACTGTACAATTAAAGTAGGTAGGCGGTGTTACACCACTTACACCCGATGGGTGGCATATAGGTGTGCTGCGCTTTCCCTATTATAGATGAGTTTAAGTACATTGTGTCATTGATTGTATGCATTATGAATAATATGCTGATGTATATTCACTACCTACATTTTCCAACGAATACAAGATGGATAATTTAGCTTTATTTTGTATAATAATATGATGATAACGATGTATCTATTCATATTATATTATATAATAATTATATACTACATATTATAATAAAAATAATTGTAGTTGGTACATATGCATCAACTAGTTTTACGATGGCATATTATAAGTAGGTAATATAACCAACCAAGCGGCAATTTTATAATATAACGTATAATCTAAAAAATTGATTTTTCTATAGGCCATTATTTAAAGATCGTCAAATAAGTGGTCGTTGTGTTATGTTAAATACCTATTCAAGGTATCATTATCGAATTATAAAAATGATTTAGTTTATTATAATATTCAAAGAATTTTTTTTAAAGCGACTCAATTTTTGGAATATAATTTTTTTCCAAGCATGAAAAAATAAAGACATTTTAGTTATTATACAGTTGAAAGTGAATAGTACCTACCTATCTATCTAACCTGAACAACCGTTTGAATTTATTTAAAAGATTAAAAAAAAATCGACCGCTGTGCCAATATTAGATGACCAGACAAGAAAAGATAAAATAAGAGGTGTAAGTGTAGACATACTTGTTTTAGTGCCCAGCGGGTTTAAAAAATATATTATTTATGTAATTGTATCATTATTTTATTGAGTATGACCTTTTATTAAACCTGAATTTTCTATAAATGGTATTTAAAAAAAAAATACATATGACATTACAACTAACGAAAGCTATATTAAAACTTCTGTCCCACGCGTCCATATCAATGTAAACTGGATCAACTACAAATTAATAATTTATCATTGTTCATAGTATGCCAACGGAATATTTGTAGCAAATCCATATTTATATAGAAACTTGTAAATTGAAGTTTACGAAAGTATAGTTAGTTACTTTCRTCATCATTTCGACTGAAAATGCAAACGTTACACATAACGGTTGAATACAATTATTATTGTATATATAAAAAAAAGAAAGAAATATTAACAATACTATATGTGTACAAAACGAAGCACGATTTGGACAATGTTTCTGGATAGTAGATCTGTTTATTTTTATTTAATCGTAGTCCAGCATATTCTAATAGTGAACGTAGACCTTGACCTCTGTATTCACAATTATAATCGTACATGGATGTGATTTATTTGATTTTATTATAGGGTGTTCTATTATTATTATTCGTGACATAATAATTGCAAACAGTAGGTTAAAATAGCYTCAAAATTATATCGGTAATAACTACAGTAAATAACACTATTTATTCCATTGAAGGTGGCCGGTATGAGTTGGAGGTTAGGTGCAATTGTGAGTGATTGCGATATGATTAGCGTTAATTTAAGATTTAAGGAGTACCTACTCGCGATCAGCTATTATAATAATTTATCATCGTTGTTATATTACCTATCGTTTTGCCGTGGTTTTAAATTAAAAATATTATGTCCTAAGGAGACGGTCAAATATGAAAATTATTGCCGTCGTTGAGTTGATTTTGTCGTTACTCCGATGGTCACTAATCGTAATAATAATATTGTGTTTACACGCTGTGTGTACCATAATATGCCAATACACRCGATTCAATTCAATATATAAGTATATATTTTCAAGGCAGAGATTTCGGATGATTGGTAAAATAAATTGCATATTATATTATATTATAGCTGCTGTTCGGGGTTATGTCGTGTTTCATATCAGCAGGTCCRAGAGTTCAACGGAAAATAATTAAGTGTGATCAGTGAGGTCATATTATAAACAGTCGGTATGATCACGATTTTTTTTTTGATTTATTTATGGGTTAACAATGGCCAACTCACGTCGTTGTATGAATAAAACATCGAAATCTCAGTATTCGTGTAACACTTTATTCGATTATTTCATATTGTTGTAGAAGTAAGCAGATGTATTATTTTAATTATTAGTTTATATTAATACCAACGAAATATATCATATAGTATTTAACACAATAATCTTTAATATATGAATTCGGTATAGTGTTCCACTTACGTACAAATGGAAGGAAATTTCGGAATTTTATATACATTTTTAAAGAAAATTAGAGTAGATAACGAAAAAAAAAATGATTCAATCATTTATTAGTAATTATTTTAATTTTGTTTTTTTCCTTTATATTTTGTTTAAAGATTTAAAAWCGTGCCAGTAGACGATTAAAAAACATTTTATTCACAATTAAATTAGTGCCTACACATTTAAGTGAACAATTTAACTTGAATACTTTAATAAAGATTTTCTTACAGGAAATATATTAAACAAGGTATTTTTTTATCTACACAATAGCAAGTACAGCCCTTTCATTTTTCTAATTGGAGCTTTCAAGTAGGTAGTTTTATTTGAGATTTTTATACTGAACTTGCCATATTCACGTGTAGGCCTAGGTCCGTTTTTGGTTTTATGTCAAAACAGTTTGTACTTCCATGTGTATTAGTAAACTTGAGAGTATATAGCAAGGTTCTATTTTTATTCTTCGTAAACTTGACAATATGCTGTGTTTAACCACGGTACAAACACTATAGGTACAAAATGATTGATTAATGTATATAGCTAGCCTTATAACATGTATTTTCTTTACCCTAAATACGCTGTTCAGGGTTTTAGTAATTTTCCATCATATGTTTTTATCGCTAATTATCTATCGTATTAATTATAAATTAATGGATTTTTTATTAAAATAAWCATATGAATTATACTAATATGTTTTATAGTTATATGGACCCATGTAACGAGAAATGAAGCATTAATTTATACATGTTGAATATTATAAATTAAAAAGTTTGAAAAACTCTCTTTTATTACTCTGAATGAGATATAGGTACGTACAATATATTTTGAAAATATTAACTCATAAATTGTTTTGATACGCACTTAAAATTTGAAAAAGTACATGACCACATTAGTGAACTGAGATCCTTTCACGAATCTTCATAACATTGCAATGATTTATTGTTGCTTTCAAATTTTTAGTATAACACAACACGCTATATATATTATTATCTTTGTCGAGCTGTCCGAAGCGGAACGAGTACCTTATACCTAACACACAACTTCTTGAATCGTATATTATATACTTACTTTTACTTTTTGTTTTTGATTTATAATAATAATACATACTAAAAATCATCTGTTAATGGCAATATATTTAGATTATTTCGTAACGACATAGCATAATATAATAATATAATTATTATGTATTTATTTATAGTCCTTGTCATGTAACAGGTACCTCGACAGTTGTAGCTGTAAACCGTGAAATCTCAACCATCGACTATAATCATAAATATATATATATATATATATATAATATATATATAATGTTTAGTATAATTGTACGCCGACCACCGATGTCATTATCATATGTGCCTTTATCGTCGCAGTGCAAATTTTGTGATTACAACAACACTGAAACCATACCAAACGGCAATAGAAAGAATGCATTTTTTTCATGGTGGGTGAAAACGAATAATAAAAACAATTGCGATTTGAACGTTTTGTAAACATATATTAAACTATACATTTACACAACAATAAATACAGGTATTTGATCGTAAGGTGTTGTTTACGATGCACAAAGATGGAAGGAGAGTAGAACATAATCATATACTATTACAATATATTATAATATGTGGGTAATAAATACATAATAACAATAATGATATGTGACTCTRTTGAGCCGCACACTCGTAAAACAGCAGTTGGCTGTCGACTAGCGCTTGGCCCGGAAAGATTGGAAGAACATTTTATACAATTGGAAAAGTTTAAAACAAATTAGTATGCCTTGTATGGGGCTGGCTTGTAGGCCGGTGCGGAGTAAGCGGGTGCTGGGTAGGCGGCTGGTGCTGGGTAGGCGGCTGGCGCTGGGTAGGCTGGTGCGGCGTATGCGGGCTTGTAGGCCGGGGCGGCTTTGTAGGCTGGGGCCGGGGCGCTGTACGGGGCCTTGTATCCTCCGTCGATTTTCTTGACTTCGGCGTTGAATCCGTAGTTGTCGGCGGTGTATTCGACGACGCGGGTGGAACCGTCGGCTTCCAAGAGGCTGTACGACCCCTTGACGTAACCGTTGGCGTCAGCGTATTCGGATTGGCTCTTGACGTCGTATGTGGATGGGTCGTTGACGCTGTATTCGAAGTTGTATGGCTTGGGTGGGTAGGCGGGTTCCGGAGCGTAGGCTTTCGGTGCGGCGTATGCGGGTGCGGAGTATGCTGGTGCTGGGTAAGCGGCAGCTGGGTAAGCGGGCTTGTAGGCCGGGGTGGGGTATTGAGCGATGGCGGAAACCACGCATGCGGCGAAGATGATCAACTGTAACAAAACGATATGGCGGTTAGGTTAGGATTAAGTTTAACGCAACGCTACACACAGCAAACTGTATATAATAATTAATTAATAACTATTAATAGCTAATTCGTTGTTGTCTCTGAAGTCAGCCGACATTTTGTAAGTGGCCCAATAGTGCATTATGTCAATATTATGCATTAAAAATAACTAATCCATAAACCTTATACCGTTGACATTATATTGATTATATCACTATCGTTTTTGTCCGACCTACCTAAATATTATGGGTATTGTATTCGATTTTTTCTTAACAAAATAAACAGAGTTTTATACCTATAGTTAGTATAATATATTAAATATCTGTGCTATACGTCAGTTGATAGACGACTGTTCGGTAGACTGCTTTGATGAAATACTTTTCGAATTAAATTAATTTACTTTTATGATTTTCAAACAGAATTTCAAAAGCGCGTACRAGATAAATTACAGTTARAACATATTGTACTGCGTTAGCTGAGTGCGAGTTTGAGTAAACGAAAATTAAAACATACCGACGTAAGTATAGTTTGTTATTTAGAACCTCGTTGGATTAAGCGTTATAATCACGAGTAAAAATAAAAATAAAACAACTTACCTTAGCGGCCATTTTAATGGTTTTTTTTTTGTGTGATTTTGAGTTTAATAAATAAATTGCAATCGAACGATCACGAGTGACTGGTGAGTGTGGCTGTTGAGTTTACTCTATTTATGCTAAAAGTTTCGAATGACTTTAATCCCTTCCAGTTGATTAACTCCTTCCAAATGCTTTCGATAGTATAGCGAACCGGTTAGGTACATTGGAGAATAATGATTTAACCAATAAGGCAACCTCATAACCTAGGAAACATTGGGCCTAAGGCTATTGGGTTTGGTTGAACGATAAAAAGAGCAACCTTGAATTTTTGTCCGTGCGGTCAAAAACAGTAACTGTCAGTGATGTAAAATTAATTATTTAACATTTTGGATTKGCTGATCATGTCCTTACATAAACCATCACGAAAAGTATAATATTATTATAATGAAACTCAATTTTTCATAAAACAAATTATGTCTCGACAATAAGAGCATTTTATCAWTCACCGTGTACCCATTTAAGAATATATAATATATACATATTGTGCTACTGCAGTCGTTGTAGAAAATAGGGCATTAATATAATCCTCGGGCTATTTATGGAATGACCGACAAACGGACAAATAGACTATGAATATAATATGATATTGAATATTAATTTAAATAATAATACTGTGTCGAGTATATTATTTATATAAATTAAATTATTTCATCGTCTGTTTTTGTTATACTGTATATAATTTGGTAAAATAAATGGTTAGAAGTTCATAACCCAACACATAAAATATTTGAATATTATTAATAATATAAACGATCGATTTATAAGGTTTTTATATTTTTAAAAACCATACTTGACCGAACTATATATATAAAAAAAAAAAAAAAACGATTCAATAATGTCGTATGCCTTTATCAAAATTGTTGAAACATAGTTGTAATATACGAACATTACTGTATTGGTCGGTTATTGTATTAGAAAGCCCGGTCACTTGAGACATTTTCAAAGTCAACGAGCGTTATGTAAAATGACCGGATTTTCTACTACATATTCGCTCTTAACGTATTATACGCATAAATTATGTATGCACATATCGGCACGGCTGTATATTATTCTTACCAGCGTATGGGAGTTATACAATTTTGAAACACCTATGTATATTATACATTGTAACAGTGCAGGTGTTTACCCAATCTCGAACATGATCACTAATTACGTGGCCAATTAGTACGCATATACTTTTTATTCGTATTCATTGTGCCGACGAAAAACAAATTTTATCGTATCACATGCTAGTGCTATATAGTGCACGCTTCTGAGTGGAGTTCGGTTGAAATTGCACGTTGTGAAATTTCTTTAAGCTTTTTCGTCGGTTCTTCTTTTATTGTTTAGCAAAACACAAAGAATGAACACTTTAGACYAAAAGAATACCATTCAGATTAGATTTCCGATGTTAAAAGGTGGGTACTTACATTGCAACACGAAACGTTTGCATTTTTTTCTCGTACCTATACCTAAGTAGGGCTTAATCAGATTTATATTTTTAAAGAACACTGTAAAACAAACACTTTTATCTCTATGTTCGGAATCTGGAAGTATAATTGAAACGATGTGAGTGAAAGTGTGGTTGGTAGAATTTGATGGAATATTATATATTATCAGTTGTGTGTTTGACGGCRGCTTGAGCCATATAAAAACAACTCGATAGAATAAATATGTGTTATAATAATATTGTGATCACTTAGGTGAAAAAGTACGTAGGTAGAAGTGCTCTTTATTATATTAAGCAATATAGTGCATCAGACATTCTCTCCGAATCATTTTTCGAGTACTCGATRTTATTAYACTATGGCTGACATATATAAAGTGCAAATAATGTATTCCTCAAGCTCTTACTATTATGTTTTGGAATTGGGCAAAAATGAGAATTTTCATACTTTTGCAATGTAATTTCGTATTTATTTGTATTCTCCACTTTTTTAACTGTAATAATTTTTGAGTAGAAAGACCACACGAACGGTTTTGTGTTTTCAATAAAAGATAAAAAATATAATCTTAAAGACACTTTGGAGATGTCATTTTTGATTTTCTGAAGAATTTCTTAAGTCAATATTAACGATAACTAAGTGATAATCTTTAAAAATGTCTGGTAAAGATTTTCAAAAAACAACGCGTAATTTTTAACAAACTTCACTCATAATCGTATTTTGATTCTGATGGTTATTTAAAGTATAATTTATACAACGTAATAATAATRCATGTGCCGAAACTAGATGAATACTAAACGCCTATAGAATTTTTATTTCGAGAGTCTCGTTATGTTTATAATTTAAATACATAATGTGGGTATTAGATTTTTGTAAACCTTAATTAAATTAACATAATTAWATTTTAGATTATACTTAGTAAACAATTAATTAATTCAGTGTTACGTCCTATTTATCATTAATATAAATGGATGGTAAAATATTCAAATTGATAAATTAAAACTGCATAATATTGTTTTGATTCAAGCATTTATCAATGATGTATTCAAATTAATACACTTGTTATTATTTACAACCGGTTTCCAACAATACGATWCTCTTACATTAAACATCTATCGTACAAGCTGTTTTACATAACATAATAATAAAATGGGACATCACATACACTTTTTTAAATTTCTTACCAACTTCATACTACTTAATAATAATAATGTTGGTCGATTATAAAAGGACATAATATATTATGAACGCGGCGGCTTCTCAATGGCACCCATCACATCAGAATTGGTTGTATACAATATATACAATATACATATAGCTAGAAAAATGTGACAGTTTTAAATTTGAAAATCTAGCTATCTACTTTTTAAAACTCAATGCTTATTGAATTATGTAATCAATATAATATATTATACTATAAACATTTATCTTTGTTTCATTTAAGTTTGGCTTAGGTAATGTACATAATAATAATAATGCGTTTACTTTATCTTTCACTACTTATTATAATTATTTTGGGTTTTTTTTACTGACTAAACAATGAAAAATTAACAGTAGATACCTAAACTCAATTAGTATTATAATATATGTGTTTATATTTATGTTAGAAAATAGATATTGTCATACCTGAAAAGAAAATGAGTAGGAAGCCAGTTCAAGTAATATCGTATTATTTGGCTTGGCTGCACAATATGCAACAATAGTCGAGTCTCGAATATTTCTATAGACTTTGATGTTAGAACATTGAACACCAATAAACAACTTTGTCAGAAAATATTATATTACGTGCCAGCGAAATTGAAGGATTTGACATGCATCTTTTAAAGAACGAATTGATCTGTTCCGTAACGCATAAACAAAATATAAATAAACGATATTGTAAGACCAGTGGATTTGCAGGGCAGGCATCCATCACTGTCCAGAACACTGAGGATTTGTTCAGAGTAAAAATAAATATAATAATATATTAAATTGTAATACTCCTTCGAAAGGYGACATCTAATGGAAAGCACTATAATAATATGCTGTGGATTCAATGCATTTGTCTAAGATATCATACAATACGATTATATATACATATAACATAGTGTTGAACGGCGGTTTATTAAAAAAATAAAATATATTACAGAAGGTATTAAAATGAAAATATTATACACGAAACGATGGCGTCTGTATGATGATGAGACGGCRACGACGTGCAGCTGCAGGTGCCATCATCAGTATTGGTGCAGCGAAGACGGTTTGTACGAATGATCGATTGGCTCTTGGTAACTGATGACGTGCGGTGTTTCGTAATGATGGTGAGCCGGTGCTTCGATTTTCTTCACCTCGGCGTTGAAACCGTGTTCGTGGTCAGCGGTGTATGTGACCACTCTGGTAGAACCGTCGGCTTCCAGAAGGCTGTACGAGCCTTTGACGTTTCCGTGTCCGTCGTTCGATTCGTGATGGCTTTTGATGTCGTGGGTATGCGGGTCGTTCACGGCGTACTCGAAGTGGTACGGAGTGGGTGCGTGCGCGTATTGGTGGTCGTCATGGTGCTCGAAACTGCTGTGCTCGAAGATCGTAGGCGGGTAGGCTAGTGCCAGGTGCCCGAACAAGGCGGCGAACACGATCAACTGCAATGTATATTAAAAAGTTTTTGGATTCAGGATCGGACGCGTTTCGTATGAAGTCAGTTTATACATATTATGACATAAATCGTGTAMAATTATTGAGTATTTTTAATCGTGGAGCATATGATTAATTCTATTAACTAGTTTTTTTTTTTTTTGGTCAAATATAAACTTATTAGATTATTTTCAAATTTCAATTTATTGTAATTTATGCATTTTAAATTAGGTTCACACGTAATCTATATACAATTAAATCATATTTGTTTTTGGTCCTAAATYGGGAAGTGAATTGACTATGAAATTTAGTCGCATTGCGCAGTTAGATAAAAACATAATATTCGATAAACCTTCATATGGAAGTAGTCCGTTTGAGTTTAAAAGAACTTATGACGAGAACGCTATGAACAGCTAGAAGCCATTGAATAAACAAATACAAATTTGAACAATGAACATAACATACGGATGCAMAACTATTGTTACCGTTATCATGAAAATATAGCACCTAGTTATAACATGAGTATTGAGTAGGTATTATTTTGTTTGAAAAAATACGAAACTACTAAACATTTTTAAACAACAATATTGAATGTACCTATTATAATATTATCTTAGTTTTTTAAAGTATAGGTACAAAAGTATACAATATAAKCTAGAAACATTTTGTGGTGAATCTTACCTTAGCTGCCATTTTTTCTATTGTTTTAATTAACGACTCGTTTTTAAATGAACACTGCAGGAGAATTCTTGTGCGTCTAAGAAAACTGATGATTGTGACTTTTATGTTTCAGTATTTATATAGAACGAATTCAGATTTTCTTAAGCCCCTACCAGCCAATTGTTTACGTGGTTACGTTATATACGAATAACTAGATCGTGGAAGAGTTAAAAATAATCTTACGAAAATTAATAATATTACTTTTAAAATACATTAGTTCACGGTAATTTGATTTATTGCGTCATAAGTACCTACAATCATGTTATTGTGTTAATTAAAGAATACAAAATAAAAAAAAAAAATTTCTTAATATTATATTGTTATGTATATATATTATTATGCATCATAATCCTATAATTATTTCAATATTAATTATAAATAATAATCTCACCGTTCATTTTAAAATATAAAATAGTAGGTATGTATTAGGATAATAGTACCTACCTATGTAACTCGATATGGTCTTAACGAAATGGAATATTAGTGAATACATTTTTTTTGGATATTCTTTATCATTCATTCATTCAGTTTATTATCAATTTAAATACAATAATGATATAATACGCGAGGTATAAAAATAAACAGGTACTTCGTTTAATTATTTATATTGCCATGACATAACATTAATAATATATAATCCTTAAATATGAAACCAGTACAGTGAAATTATAATTTATTGTCTTTTTTGATATTTGCAATAGTTATTAGCAATTACTTTAAAATAATTTTATAAATTAATTTGCTAATTTCCATATGTATTTATTGACATTTTAATTATATCTACATTACTACTGTGGATACCTAAGTTTAATTTTGATATAAGACTTCAATCAGTTATTGGCATATGATATGTGCTGTTTTGCCAACAATTAATCTAAGTTCTAAAACCACTAAAATTAATTTTCTCGTGACTTACACTAACACCAATATCTCAAGTATAGTTGCCTTGTCTGCCTTGACTTCTAGAACGTAATTTTATTTAAACAATGACTTTATAAGTTTCACTACCAATATTTTAAGATATAAAATTAATTTAATGTATACGAAGTATAATTTTTATAATTTTTATTTTTAGTGAACAATTTATTGTTTATAATAAGTTGCTCTATGTATAAACTATATACACATTTAACAATAGCCCTTAGAAATATTTAGTTATAAACTCAATTTTTGGATACTTACCAATATTATTATACTACTTTAATGCACCAAATATATTCAATAACCCGAGGACCACGGAATCTCTATTGGTTTTTTAACTGAGGATTTTGTACGCTCGTAAAATATAATTTTAAAAATTACTATTAACATGGCTTCTTCTTTTGGTATATTTCATTTTTAATCAAGTTATTGTCATTGAGACACACACACGTTTATTTTATTWATATAATGTATTTATTTTATAGATAGTATAGTATAAAAGCAACAATACACTTTTTTATTACCAATATAGGATTTAATAAATGTCAAAAGTCAATAATAATAAATAGCACATCTGTAAATAAGCATATGTTATTCCTGTTGAATACCAATTTTGATTTTTTTCCGATAAAATCAACTAATTGTAATTTTTAAAAAGTTTAAATTTGGCGTAGTGCAATAATTAAGTACCATTCCAAATAAATTAATCCTGTGGTCTCATTATTCTCTGCCGTTTACTTATAGTGTATAGTTTTGTTTCTTAAACGAAAATAATGATCATTTCATGTTCATGAAATGATGAATAATTTATTATTCATTATAATAATAATTTATACTCGATAATTATAATTGATTCTCCTTTTAAGACGTTTGGTCTTGATGGTTTTAGCAATATAATTAAAAAACTCAATCATGTTAGAATTATGGAGAGTATAATTATTTATATATTCAAAAATAACTGATTAAAAGTTAGTACCATAAATTAAAATATTTATATTTTTTTTTAGTATTTCTATGACCTACTTAGATATATGAATTATAGTTTTATATGTTAAGTTCATCCATTACTCAAAGTATTAGAAATATTAAATTGACTAAAATTTTGATTTACAAAACTAGAATTATATTCACAGCTTGTACTCTTTTCATAATTAATATTAGTTTATTATTATAGTAAAAGAAAAGATATTAATCAAGTGAAATTATTTTAAAAAATAATTAAAATGATACACTTACTTTATTATAATAGGAATTGTACTATTTCCCAGAGAAATGTATAAAAATATAATACTTATAAAAGTGAATTTGATGATGTGTATTTAATATTCAGGACTATTTTTATTATATATTACAGAAATCAATCGAACATATCATAATTTTTGATTGTTTTTCACACTATTGGTTCAAAAGAACTTTTTAATTTATAATAAAAAGTTGAAAAACTAAGAAATAATAATGAATGTACTARTTAAATAATTATTTGTTTGTTTTTGTTTTAGATCTTTATATAGTATTCCATCCAAACGTCAATAAAAATAGGTAGAAGTTCTTTGAATTTTGGGTAAGTCACAACTGCATTGTCAATTTTTGTATTTAAATTTAAACCGCACGTTTTGAGAATTTTAGCTGCAAAAATTACTGATAAATTTTAAATGGAATATTTTATGTATATTGTTTTTTTTAAAGGATAAGGAAGCGTTTTTAGTCGTATATTATATTATTCTATTAAATGATAACAAGTGTAAAAGTCAATTATGTATAACTATTTTATTTGTTTTATAAATTCAAGAATTATTTTATAATCTAATGTAATTTTTATTTTGTGCTAATACATTTCGCCAATACCTGTATATGGATAAATGTTAAAAATATAATGCCTTATACAAAGTAATTTGTATACATAAACAAGTTAAATTAATACTTATATTTTATTTTATTAGAATATTTGTTTTAATAATATAATAAATATTAATAGTATAATATGTAAATTATACTCTAATACATAAATAATAACGGAACAGCATATTTATTTATATTTTTTAACATATGTATTAGAAATTCGATATTCTAATAAATATTCAATTAAAATGTAACATTATGCATATTAAGAACTTACTGTTACTTGATACAATGACCTTAAAATAAAATATCATAATAGGCTACTGGGAATATAAAGGAATATAGTTCATAAATCTCATGCACAAAAAAACTCTATCGGTTAAAAATGTAAAACAAAAAAGAATATTTGTATACTATACAATATACATACTGGACAAAGAGACTGGTTATGTCGCACTCGTTAAGCTTCATTTACCTCGGGACGAACCAGTGTTGCAATATTGTTTTATGCTTTTATGGTTAAAAATAAACAATCGAAAACAAACATTTTTATTTTTTTCTGAGATGGATACCTAATAATAGATTGTATGATTGTAACTACAAAAACCAAGTTCTTTAAGTAGATATTTATTTATTTTTCATTAGTAAAAGATCTTTGCCATTTCAATAAAAATACGACTTAACAAGTAAATATACAATTATATATGACACTGCAAATTAGTATGTATCTACGTATATATAGATAATATTATATAATATAATACAGTGCAATTTTTAATACAATATAATTTAAAAGAAGAAGAAAGGGACAAAATTTGCAATGGCCAATATGGGCAATATGTGCCTACTCTAAGTTCATTCATCATAATACAGTTTTTAGCGGGAAAAAGTTGTATATTATATTATCTGACTGGCCGCTGATGAACTTGAATTAATGTATTGAAGGGTAGATATGAAACTTTTGCTCGGCATTTTCAGGTGCATCAAACCATGAATACTAAGTCGATGTTCATAATTTAGCTCTGAATGGTTTTGGTCATAAAGTGTGTTATCTAGCTTATAATTACATTGAAGAATTATTATAGTTTGTGTTACCTTAAAATTGCCATACTGTCATGGCAAATCCAATAATACTAGCTAGGTACTCAATTATATTATTAAAAAAAAAAATTTTTTGTTATTATTGTCAAGCATATAATAACATACTATGCGAGTATAAGACATATTCTCGCTTAAGGTGTTCATAATTTATTGTGATATACACAGTAGTTTATGACATGAACTTAACGAACAACATGTTAAGTATATACTACCGTATGTGTTGTTGTTAATTTCTTATAATACCGATGTGTTGGGCTCAGGCTTGATAAATATGTTTAGTGCCTTATAAATGTCCCTGTGTTATTCACATAAGTCATCCTTAACAAAAGTTCATGATGCGTGAGAAGCAAGATTATATATTATTATTATTGTATACCTACCTATATTGCTTCAAAAAACTGTAACTTTTGTACGAATTAATGGTATATTATGACGTAGTCGTATAATAACGAATAACAAACAGTGCCATGATGATATAATATAAAAACCAACGATGGTATTGAGGATCAAAGTTTTTATTCAATAAACGAGTTTTCGTCCTTACGGCAATCGTTCATATTTTATTTAAACGCATACCAGTTTTTTAAGTTCATTATCAACGAGCAGCACGCATAAGAGTAATAAACATTATAAATTATAATAATGACGATACCTTCGATGACGGTGATAATAATATGTACCTACCCAATATTTTATGGACAATTCTTGCAGCTGAGTTTTATGAAGACGGTTGTTTCTATCAAAGGCATAAAATTAAATAAATATATAATATTTATAAGATATTATATATGTCAGATATGGACTTTCTTTACTAAGGCTATTATAATTTCTATTATTTGGGTGTCAAATGGTATCATATAAAGTATAATTTATGCAATTAAGTAGTTCTCAAGTATGTTTGAACATGGCATTCATAATATAATATTTTGGTTGAAAGCATTATTATCATCGTGGGCCACGCTGGAAGATTTTGTATATCTTAAACAATCGAGCTTACTTACTATACATATTACCCAAAATATGCTAGTAAATCGTATACTGTTAAGTCATTGATTTCGCAAAAGCGTCAATTGCTAAGCAAAATATCACCATTTGTTTAAGGTATGCGTCAATAATATAATAATATAGTTCAACAATGGCATTGAATTTATTATGATAAATCACAGATTATAACATCGTAATAAGTAGTTAGGTAGAACCAGGGCTGGGCTGTCAATAGCGGCGCTCCTGTCAAAATATAAATTTGCGCCCCCCCTAGGTTTTCAAATTTAATTTATCAAATTTTGTACCCACATTCCTACTCTATATTTTGTGCCCCTGGCAGACGCCCGCCTTTCCAGGTCCTCGGCCCGGCCCTGGGTAGAACTGTACAGGATACAATGAGATGAACTCGAACAGTATTAACATAGTTCGCAATAATAACTAGTGTGATTATTAGACAGTTATTTTCGACAACCGAAAATATTTCTTATAAGATATTAAAAAAAAATCTATACATTTTTCTAAAATATTAAAACAAATTTTAATATAATATAATAATGTACTTAACAATAACATACAATTTCAATCTCATAAAATGTTATTTTTATAAGTAATTTATTAAAAATTATTTGTAAAACAATATGTATAAACAAAAACAAAATTATACAATAGAAGTTCTTACTGAAGAAAAAGCTTGTTATTTAAAAACACAAAATGTCAGAAATCGAAAAACAAAAGTATTTTGACAAAACATAAGCTAATACATTATATTTTTATTACGATAGCAGCATAATGGATGACTGGATGAGTGTAAATTCTACCATTTTTATGGTATCTATCAAGTTTTAAGGTCGGATAAAAATCAATTTCATTAATGCTGACGATAAGTTTACTACTATTGAATCATATACATAAGATATACTGCAGTTGCTTATTAAATTATCATGTTATTTAAAGATTACCTGGGAGACAAAAATATACCGATCGATAATTTATGTTCAAACAAACTGTGATCGTTTGTGATTTAATTCGTTAAAATCCGAGAACAAAAATGAATCGATAGTTTGCACACAATTGTGGGTGAAATATAACGAAAATAATCTATTTTTAAGTGGGAAAGGATTGTGAAGGAATATTAATTGTATTATAATAGAATATAGGTTCAACATATGAATTAAAAATGTATTATAATGTTGGTGACATGAATAATAGGTATAATTATACGACATTCTTCGTGCCCACAATAAACGTACCAGTGGAATGTAGGTACTATGTATACCTACAAACTCAAAAACAAAAAGGTACGCTCGGTGGAATTTATTACAATCGGTCATCTCTTCGTTTCGCATTCATCAGTATGAGTGAAAGTGCGAAGACGGTTTGTACGTACTATGGGTTGGCTCGTGGTAGTTGGTGACGTCGAATTCATGGTGAGCCGGCGCTTCGATTTTCTTCACCTCAGCGTTGAAACCGTGTTCGTGGTCAGCGGTATAAGTGACCACCCGGGTGGAACCGTCGGCCTCCAGGAGGCTGTATGAGCCTTTGACGTTTCCGTGCCCGTCATTAGATTCGTGATGGCTTTTGACGTCGTGGGTGTGTGGGTCGTTCACAGCGTACTCGAAGTGATATGGAATGGGTGCGTGGGCGTATTGGTGGTCATCATGGTGCTCGAAACTGCTGTGCTCGAAGATCGTAGGCGGATAGGCTAGAGCCAGATGACCGAACAGGGTGGCGAACAAGATCAACTGAAAACAACATTTTTTCACATCGTAATAGTTTCAGAAGTTTCGTATAATGGTAGACTTGTTTTAGATCTGAGCGAGTCGATTAACATGCTATTCTCGTAATATTATTTTTCGGAAAACTCTTAAGCTCAGCTCGAATCGTATAGATTGCATAATGCATATTGCAAATTAAAATAATTGCAAATTAATATTTTTTATAGGTATTGTTATCGTTGACGTCTACAATAATTAGTATACAAATAATATAAAAAAAATTTGAAACCAAGATGACTGTGGTATTTTTCGATAAAAAGAAAAATGGTTTTTATTAAATGATAAATTCTTACCACAGTAGCCATTTCCAACGTGTTGGTGAATATATATATATTATATATCTTAATGTATTATACTATGAAATAATTGTTTTCATACGTAATGAAAAGAGAACTGATGAATATTTGAAATTTGTTTGAAGTATTTATACTTTTTGTAATCCCCTACCATAGCTACTATTATTTTTCTGTAGGACTAATATTGAACCAGTTACATCAGGTAATTAAAAAAAAAAACAAGAGATGATACTCATCTTTTTATCTATATTACTCATAATAAGTTATTTCGTATATTGTTTTTTTAAGTACAACATTCGTTTATAAATGTAATAATAAAGAAATGTTGTATTTGTACCTATCAATAAAATAATTTCACGAGAAGTATTTAGAGAATTTAAGTAAAAAAATATAAAAATATTTGAAAATTTGGATTTTTAATTAACATAAATTATAATTATAAATGATGACAAAGACGTACAAGTAATTCGATAGCGACGATAGCGTATATATTACAATACATTTCAGCTCTTATTAGCTCATATTACAGCATAGCCTAATTTTAGGACCACATTTTTTTGTACAATTGTATGTCTATCTATGATACACTTGTTACGTCATTAATTAAATCGGATTATTCTTAAACATATTATTTTAATAGATTAAAAGTACCTATTATTATACTGTACAACATATTATTATTATGGTCATAGTAATATATTATGCTAGATTTTAACATAAAAATGAAATAACAGGTTTTTAATGAAATCTTAAAGAAAGTTATTTTTCTTTTATAAAAGATGAATACTATTTTTAAAGAACTTTTTTAAATATGTAAGGATATCGTATACCTATTATTATTTGTGATCTGAGATGCAATCATTTGGAAAGTATACTAATGAAAATCATTAGGCATAAGTTATTTAAATTCTTTTTATTTGATTTGAAGGTATTATTATTTACATAATTCATTATAAATGGAAATAATTAAATTGCTTATTTATTTAGATTCTCTAAAATATTAAACAGGTAAACAACTTATAATAGATCTACAATTTAATTTCAAATGGCTCATTTAAAATAGGTATTTAATAAGTACAAGTTTTTCATTGAAAGTGAAAACAAATGCGTTATGTAGATATCCTTGTAATAGGTTGGATTGTGATGATCATGTTACAATTATAAAAGTTAGTAACTATATTGGTATCTTTTGTTTGAATTGATTATTTATGACAATATTAATATCGGTAGTATTTGAAAAAAAAAAGTTGTTAACTGAATCGTTTAATTCATATACAGAGAGTCCCTYGAGGATCTACCCATTGCGATATCTCCTGAGATAATAAATATATCATAAATCTGTTTTTTTTATTTAACTCCCATAGACGAGGTCTAAATTTTTGAATTCAATTCAATTTTTTGGTAAGGTTAAAAATTTTTTTTTTAATTTTTAAATTTTTGAAAAAAATAAAGATACCTATTTTATAGAGTTTATTTTCATGAATCACTGATTTTTAATATTTTTTTTAGTTTATAGATAAAACGGCAAAAAACTGATTTTTATCCGGGCGGTGAGCCCTCTTCAGTTAATGGGTACGTTTAATGTCTTCACGGGACACCACATGTATATATTATTTTTTTCAAAATTGTCTTCTTATGTTATTATAAGTCGTAGAACAATTACAYAAACTTTATCAAACGTTATTTGAACTATATTTCAAAATTATTGTAAGAACATCGATTAGTTACTAGTTGGTTTTCACACTATTTTTATTGTTTAAATACGGAAATTATAATTTATCATATAAATTTAATAACTTATTTTTTTAGAATTTTTGCGTTGTAATTTTAGATTAATTAGTTATTAAAACATTTGCTCGACCTTTATTTTTTAAAGTAAATGCCTCAACTTTAAAGTGTAAATCATGAATTGAATATTGTAAATTAATAATAAACAGAGTTCAGAATTCAGAGTATTAAAATTTGTCAAATACTATTTTTATAAACAAAAAGTTTATGTCCATGAGTATAAAAATAACAATATAACGACATAACGTCTTAAAATTGATACTTACTATATACATATTTTTGATGATCATAAATTCAGTAGGTATTTTACTCTTAAGGTTATTAAATATAAAAGATGACTTTAAATTATATTAGTTTTTATGAAGTTTAGCTGATCATTAAAATGTTAAGTACCTACTTGAGAAAATAATTTATTATTACTTATTAGTCAATGTTATTTAGCATTATTGTATTATAATTAGTTCAAAATTAAAGTATTTATTTGTAATTTGTATATGAAAGTCAACTTTAAAAGGTTTATCAATAATAATAATGATTTAATAATATAAAACTATAGTATTTAGTTAARTTAAGTTAAATTAATAATTGTTATTACTTCTACGAAACATTTTTAAAGATCTTTTATAGAGTTATTTATGTCATTAAAATGTGTTTCTTAATCAATAAAAATAACTTGTTATTGTAGAACCAATACGTTGTTTGTTGATGTTCAACATCTACAATACAAATATTGCGCTTAATGTTGTTTTAAAAAGTACTCACGAAGAAAATAAGTTACATATTTTCAAAAGAAAATACTGAAAAAAAATTTCATTGAGTTTTATTTTTATGCGTGATGAGTGATGACTTAAATTGTTGGATTCTCGGAAATAGGAACATATATGATAGATATCTCAAGGACGGATCATCGTGCACAGTTTGGTCATCAAGTTGTGTAAACTTATGTAACATTTATTTGGATGTCACAAATTATTATGTTTACGTAATAAATTAATAATATATTTTTTAGACTTTTTTAGGAAAAACACAGTGTTCGTCAAAATGGCAAAAATATTATTTATTCATACAATAACAATATTATAAAATACAAAACAACTACGCGAAAGTCTCAAAAACCAGACTCGTTGTTTATTATTCAGGCATATGTCATAATAATAATATTGAAACAAAATGACATTCTCAGCTTGACGAAATCATTTCATGATCGTAGTGTGCTTCTTGACCATTTACCGGGTTTGGGAAATATGGCACCTTATGCTCGGCCATGTCAAATGTGTGTTCAGTAGACGAAGGTTTTCGCTTTGGTTGGATTTTCTTGACTTCAGCTTTGAAACCGTGGACGTCATCAGCTGTGTACTCCACCACACGGATGGAACCATCTGGTTCGACTAGGCTGTACGTCCCTTTGACAGTACCATGTCCGTCACTGACTTCGTTGTGGCTTTTCTCGTCACCGGTCACCGGGTCGTGAACGGTATACTTAAAGTGATACGACTTAGACACTTGTGAATGATGTTGGTGTTCGTCGTGTTCGTCAAAGTCATCCAAAGACGGAAATGACGCTGCGAGACCTGAGAAAGTTATGGCGACGAAAAACATGATGTACAGCTGAAATTTTAAAACACATATTTAACTTCCAACTGGTTACAATCGTTCATACATTTGTTTTGCAGACAATGTATTAAGAAGAAAAAACCGAGCTATACATATTTAATTAGTTTATTAGTTGAATATAACTTATTTAGTAGGTATGATTTTTACTCGCCTTAATAGTCATTGTATAGATTATTTCGATTTCTCGGAGTTGGTATCGCACAATTTTTATCAGTTAATTTTCTTGATGAGACACAGAATGGACAATGACTGTTATTGCAAWCTCTCAGTAGGTACTAGCTATTTATGTAGTGCGCCTATTGTATAATTTGTACACGAATCACTCTCCAGTAGGAGAAGATTTCACATATATGTAAATGATATACCTACATATAGGTACAATTATCACCTGTAATTAATCTGTTCTATCTAAACCGGAAATGTCCAGTGAAAAAATACATAAATAATTATTATACTATACTCGTGTCCATAATAATATAGTCAGCGTAATAGTTTATAAGGATTAAACACGTCATCACGCGTCTGAACATTAAGTGAAAAAATTAACAGGGAATGTATATGTATGTTCTATTCAGCAAAAATAGCTAAACAAGACGTGTAGTCGAGTAGCGGAACAGTTAGAGCTAAAACTTATAATAAATTAATTTGATTGYTCATGTAATTTGTAACACATATTCAGTGTGTAGTATTTGATAGTAATTCATTTGAAAAAAAAAATGTAATAATACTCATGGTTACTAGGTATGTACATAAACTATTTTCACTGTGTTGAACATTTTCTTAGCGATTTGCTTTCTATAATACAATTGGAAACGTAATCATGATTTYAATCAGATTTGATCATAAACTTYGATAGAACAAAACATCAAATTAAATATTGTATTTTAATCGTAAAATTATTCAATGACAGATATTATTTATAAAATAAAATTAATTTCATTATTGTGTCCTGAAATACTGGATTATTTACAAATATTATTATTATTATGCACAAAAACTAATAAAATGTTTTACGTTGAATTGTGAATTGTTCGATTGTTTTTATTAAAAAATAAAATATACTTTTACAGCTATATATTTCATAAATATTGGAAATAATATTATTTGTGGATGTTACCTAATAAAATAAAAGATCGGAACAATCTTTAAAATGGTTACACAATAATTTAAGAAATAAATCTCAAAACAATTATTGTATGCACCTAATGACATTTATTATGTCATTTGTATTTCAAGTTATATACGATATCATTATGTTTCGTTTATCGTTTTATTTATAATTTGCTTTTTTAATGAAGTATATTTTGTTGGAAATTTATTAAATACTGAAGGCGAGTAAAAGTTGATTGTTCAACAATTATTTGCATTTTTAATAYYTGTCAATATTTTGTGCAGTTTTAATTTAAAAAATATGCATTTCCAGATGTCATGTCAAATAGAAACTTTTGTGCTCTTCTTGATATTCGTAGTTACAGCTCGTACTATCTTAATTTAAAACCTAATAATGACAAAAAGGAAATATATGATAAAAAATATCAATTTATATGAATAGGTTTTTATTATTAATAACTCAAAACATATAAGTAAGTAAAAACTAAAATTGTGTTAGTTTACATTGGTTAACAACTATAATATAATATTATGTACATAACAATATGATGAATGAACAATTTTATAAACGAATGATAAACAAATGAGAATATGAGGATTTGTGTTTTACGAACAAAAGACAATTTGTATATATATACATCGTATAAGACGGAACACGACAATATAATTATAAATATATTATTAATAGGTATTGATCAATAGTGATGGTTATTTTTGTTATGTCATCAGAGCTCCATACCGATGCTCTGTAGCCAACACTGATCTTACCCGCTGTCATGTGCCTATATATATATCGATAGTATACATAATAATATTATGCCTATGGGGTGATGGGATAACGTTCACAAAAAATATGATCGCGATGGCCTCAATAGGGTGACGAATACGCGAAAAAAGACGGTGAGACGAAGAAGACAAAGTATTAGTTTTCAATGCAGTGAGACCTCTTTACAACTGATGGGACGCAGAGACTCCTTTCAAGAGTTTTCGTGATAGAGAGTGGGCATAACGGCAGATGGACCGACCAATATCATGTAATGTTTACGTCGTATTTCGTTGTAAAAAGTTTCGTCAGAAAGAGTTTTCACTGCAGTGTTTGTGACCTAGGAAAAACACGATTAGTAAGCTGGTTTGTAGCCAGAGTATGCGGGCTTGGTGTAAGTCGGTTTGTAGACAGCTGCTGCGGGGGCTGAGTTTTTGACGACGGCGTTGAAACCGTTGTAGTCGTCGGCGGTGTACTCGACGGTACGGATGGAACCGTCGGCTTCCAAGAGGCTGTAGTAGCCTTTTACGTTACCGTTTCCGTCGCTCGATTCTTGTTGCCTTTTCACGTCGTAGGTGTGTGGGTCGTTTACGCTGTACTCGAAGCTGTATGGGATCGGCGCGTACTTGGGCTCCGGAGTGTTGTAACCTGCGTACTGGGCGGCGGCGACGGACGCGACAGCGACCACGATGAACACCTGAAAAAAAATTAAATTATATTTTCGTTTGGCTGACCAATAYAATATATTATTGTATAAGTTTTAACCGCACAGCATACCTTGGCGATCATTCTGTATGAATGTTGTGTTCAACGGTGATAAAATATTCCGTTTTTTCTGTCGGCGAYAAATACAACACGGCGACTGATAAATTTCGTGCCTGTTGTCGCAGTATTTAAATCGAAAGATCGGTGTTACTTATTAGTAATAAGTTATTACCCATTCCATATTATTATACTATTACGTTTCATTCCCCAGATAATAATATATATATATATGTCATGAACTGGTTATAATTGAATTTAGTTAAATATTTGTTTCTGTAAAAGAAATCATCCACGTGGAAACGTTATACCTACTGTTTACATTATCTTTGAATTTATTATTTATTGTGAAATGGATAAATAATTTACAAATCGAGTGAAAGGTACAAATAATTTAAAAAAAAAAAAATGTATCTTATGTGTAAATGTATATGTATTACATAAAATTTGTTGCGTTAAAATACTGTGAATTATTATAATATTGTTGAAATTTACATTCAATCGGGTTTACTGCTTTAAAATATATTTCAATAAAAAAATATTAGTATAGTGGATCTATAAAATTAAATGATAATATTTTTAAGTACCCATCAAATATTTTTATAATGATATGTCATCAAAGTATGATATAGCTGGTATAATGTTAATCTTAAACTATTTAAATATAATAGTCAAMTACTGTTTGGGTAGATTTTTGAATACATCAGAGTTTTAAACAGCTTAAACAATGTATTCGACTAATCTTTTAACTGTTGAATAAAAGAATTTTCATTTTAGTTGTTAACAAAATTATCTTACTTTAGAAATCGAATTCGAAAAATATTGACAACAACTAAAATAATTTGTAAATTTTAATCGATTAAAAAAATAAAATATTGTGAATTTATTATATTTTATACAATACATAATAAATGAAGAGCAAGTAAAAATATTTTCATACCTATTATAATATAAGTAATTTCTTATGAAAGTATCTACCTAYAAATGAATTAAATAAAAAGTTAGGAATAATAATTATTAGTGCTTGRRCTATGTGGTYTCTAGAAACAATATAACTTCAGATATTTTGATTGATAATATTAATGTAACAGGGAGTGTTATGTTCCCCGAGGACCATATCATATATTACAACAAACTCGTTTTATAATGTTCGCTATTTACTTTTAAGACTGTATTAACCATATAAGATGATAAAAAAAAAATTTTAAACTATGAGTATCGATTTGTAATAAAATATCTAAACTTTAAGTCTAAAAAAAAAAATTAAACGTGATAATATTAACAGAAGTAAAAAATTATCATTAATTAGATCATAAATAAAATTAAAAATATGACAGTGATGTTGTAATCAGTATCAGTATTTTTATTAAATACCGCATGTAAGCATAAATGTTTTATAATTTAAACTTAGGTAGGCCAGTGGAAGTGGTTAACCTAAATTGTATGTTTAAGGTAGATTTCTACGTTATTTAATCAAAACTAATYTTATACTAAATAATAAACATTATTGTTACAAACTTAACAGTAAACATATAATATCTCATAAGAGTTTATAAAGTTAAAGTCAGTAGCAAGATTATGTAGATTAGGTACATAATATTAATCCCTGACACATTTAATATTTTTCAAATAACTTAATATTATGTCATAGCATCATACTTTGAAAATTTTAAATTTTCATTGGTTTTTTTTATATTTCACTTACTAGAAAAAATATATAATATATTTTAATATTAAAAAAAATTAATTTATACTCCAATTYAAAACATTAACTGTGTATAGTTATTATCTACTTCCTTGAGTCATATGTCCGACAGTTATAATCCTATTAAAATTCTTGCACAAAATTCTTTATTGTTCAGTAACAAAATATTTCATATCGTCATAAGTCATAACTATATTAAAGTAACTGGTAAATTACACAACATCGAGTTTTCGTTCATATTATTTCACGTTTAAGATAATATGAATATATTTTAGATATGATCTTACTTAATCTATTAATCGTATTCCTTGT